CCATCCATCTCCAGCCTTCCACAAACAGAGGCCAGGGACACCATTTCTACCCCCTGGCTAATAGCACTCCATGGACCCGACCTCCATGACTTTATCTAACTTCTCTTTAAACTCTATTATAGTTCTAGTCTTCTGTGACAGGGCGAGGTAGCCCTGCACTGAGCCTGTAGGGCCCAGCCAGGGTTACCTGGCTGCAGAGGCCCCTCCCCCACAGCCCTACCGAGCATGCCCGGGCTGTAGCAGCGCTATAAAAGCCTGGGGAAGGACTCAGTCTGGGGAGACAGCCAGAGGAGAAGGACCGGTGGAGGGAGCTCCCACTCAGCTGTTGCTGGGAACTCCAGAAGAGGCCGGAAAGGACGCGGAGGTGAGTTGGTGCAACCCAGGGACTGCCTGCCGAGGGGACGCCGGCATGGAGCTTGCAGCAAGCTGGGCATGTACAGGGGAAGGAACCCCAGGGAACCAGGTAGGAAGTGGCCCAGGGCAGGAGCGGGAGCTGCCTCTCCTGCCCAGAGAACCTCGGTGTGTTTTGGCCGGATTGCCCCGCTGAGGGAGTGACCTGTTACCCAGTCACTCACTGGGACCTGGTGGAGTAGGGTGGACCTGGGTCCCCCTACCTGGGGTGTGTCCCTGCTACAATCCTGAACTACACTGTGGACTCAGGCTGAAGGGCCTTGGCCTTGCTTAAAGGGCCATCTATAGACTGCATTGTGGACTCGGGCCCAGGGACCTTGGACTTAAGAGGGTAGGCGGGAGGGGCCTGCCACACCTTCACAGCCTCCTGGGGCAAGGAGTTCCACGGGTTGACTATTTGCTTTGTGAAGAAGAACTTTCTTTTATTAGTTTGAAGCCTGCTACCCATTAATTTCATTTGGTGCCCTCTAGTCCTTGTATTATGGGAACTAATGAAGAACTTTTCTTTATGCACCCTCTCCACACCACTCATGATTTTATCCTATCCCCCCTCAGCCTCCTCTTTTCTAAGCTGAAAAGTCCCAGTCTCTTTAGCCTCTCTTCATATGGGACCTGTTCCAAACCCCTAATCATTGTAGTTGCCCTTTTCGGAACCCTTTCCAAGGCCAAAATATCTTTTCTGGGGTGAGGAGACCACATCTGTACACAGTACTGAAGATATGGTGTACCATAGTTTGATACTTCCTGCTCCTCCTTCTTCCCCCTGGCTCCCCCCTTCCAGCTCCCTCCTCCCAGGTTTCCCCCTCCCCTCTCCCACCTCGTTTTTCCCAGTCTCCCCGGAGGTTAATCCCTCTCCCCCCAGTTTTGTTAAATGAAGAGAGTTTCTATTTTTGAACACACGTGTCCTTTATTTTGTACATCAGGAAGGGGGGGGGGCTAGGGAGGGGTAAGTAGAAGGAGGTGAGGGAGGAATGGGATATGAGCCCCCGATGGGGAGGACTGGGGTGGCTCTGCAGGCTCCTCGGGGTGGTGCAGGCTCCTCCGGGTGGGAGCTCTCCTGCAGCCCCCCAATTGACCCCTCTCCCCCAGATGGCAGCCTGTGGCAAGTGCAGCCGGGCTGATGACCAAGTGCTGTGATGTGCCGAGTGAGGACACTCAGGGCACTCCAAGTCAGGACTGCTTTGCTGTCCCTCTTCGAGGTAGACAAGCAAGCGGGGAACCCTGAGAACTGTCTGTCCGGGGTGGGGGTCGGGTCCCTTTAAGCACAGCCCTCAGCTAGCCTGAGACAGCAGCTCCATGCTCTAAGTCCTAACCTGATGCCCTGCTGGCACTGCTTCCGGCCAGCCTTAACTTCGGTTCAGGGTCCACTCAATGTGGACATGCTAGTTCAAATTAGCAAAACACTAATTAGAACTAGTTTTTAGGTCTAGAGGCATTAGTTTGAATCAGCTTAGTTCAAATTAACTAATTTGAATTAAGTTAGTTCGAATTAGTGCTGTAGTGTAGACATACCCTAAGTGTACATCTACACAGCAGGGCTAAAGTTGAATTAAGCAATGCCACTTCAGCTACGTCAATTCTGTTGCTGAAGTTGAAATAGCTTAATTTGGCTTTTGGTGCTGTCTACACAGCAGGAAGTCGAAGGAAGAGCACTCTTCCTTTGACTTCCCTTATGCCTCATGAAACGAGGGTTACCATGAGTCAGAATAAAAGCCCTCCAGCTCAACATTATTTTGAAATACAGGCTTGTAGGATAGACTTGCACTAAGTTATTTCAGAATAACATCAGTATCCTAAATTGCCACAGGACTCTGTTGTTTTTGCAGATACAGACTAACACAGCTGCACCTTTGAGATGGTCCTCACTGTTATTCCAATGCTCTTACCCTACCCCACCCCCTCCATTGCCATAGCTTATGAAATCATACCTCATCTCAGAAGACCTAGCAAAAGAAAGTTCAGCTGCACACCCCATAAATGTAGGATGGTGGCAGAATGTGCACTTGGCAGATTAAAATCTTCTTGGTGCTGCCTGCAAAACCATTTGGAGAACAGGGTCATCAATGCAGTCCATATTATTGTGTCCTGCTGTATTCTGCAAAATGTCTGGAAGGACAAGGGGCAAAGAGTAGATTCCAGATACTGCTGGCTTGCTGAGCTGAAAACAGAACCACCCAGTGTACCCATCATGACTGCTGGATTCATGCACACAATGGAAATTAGGGATGCTTTGTATGCCCATGTAATGGATTTGTACAAATCTGTGTATAAGGGAGAAGGAAATGGTATCTGAAGTAGAATCATTTGCTCAGGAAAAATGCTGATGGGGAGGATCCTTCTTATAACTTTAGCTCAGTGGGGAGGGTACTCGATGGGATGTGAGAGATGGTGGGTTCAAGCCCTACCTCTGCATGAAAAGAAGGGATTTGAACAGGAATCAGCTTTCAGAAGAGAGCTCTGAGCACTAGTACGGAGTCGTGCTAAGTTTCTCTGGTCCAATTCTTCTTGTCACCTGAGGCATTTTTTGCATATGCTATTTGACCAGGATTCATCATCAAATGTGGTTCCGTGGCTGGACCATTTGCTTCCTTGGCCACAGGGCCAAGTACTGATGGGGAGTGTGACATGATGCTGAGCCATGACTCCTCTGGTCTAATTAATATTTATTTACTTCAATTAAAGTGGAAGAATTTCAAGAGGGGAAAGTGAGGGAGGACTGTGTCACCCTCGGGTGAGGGAACTCATCAGAAACATGGCAGATCCTTCTTCATCTGGACTTGAACCCACATCCTAGGTGCATACCTTCCCCAGAGCTGCTCCTTCTGCCAGCTGAATAACATGAACTTTCCTGAGGAGCCCAATCTGGTAGAAAGCCAGCATACTTACCAGATTGGGTCCCCCACATGTGACCTAGAGAAGTGTGTCTTTCATGGTTTGTGACTCACACTGGAGCACAGGAAGGAGAAATGTCCAGGTGCTTAGAGAGGCACTTGTGAGCATGCTCAGAGCAGAAGCGTAAGTACCTAGGAAACCTACCATGAACACTTAGGTATAAGGGAATTTAAAGGCCTATAGGGTTAGACACCAGCTAAGCAGCAGTTTTGCAGCTTGTGGTAGCACTTCAATACTGCTGTGGATCATACCTTCCATGCCAACACCATGCAAGTGTTTAACCCTCATTTTAGGAGGACCAAGGGAAGTCGGAGGAAGAGTACTCTTTCTGACTTCCTGCTGTGTAAAGAGCGCCATAAGCTGAAAAAAGCTATTTCAATGTAAGCTACGGAATTGACATAGCTCCAAGACACAGCAGTGGGGGGATGGAGAGAGAGTTCCCACTGATGCTTCCTTGAGACCCCAATCACAAGCAGTTCTGGTTCTCTTGCCTTTGTAGTGCTAGGAAAAGCTACTCTGATGTCCGCTCGAGGCTGGGGACACTGACATGAGCAGTGCTCAGATGGAGCAGACTCATGCCCTGCTTATCCCTGTATGCACGTGGAAGCAGGCATAAGGGAAGAGAGGAGCACAACTTGCATTTCTCAACCCTGGACTGCCCCAGAGTGGGGTAGGAAGGCTGGGGTTCTTCTGGGGTTTCTGGCAGCTGGAGAGAGGCAGCGGTGGTTTCATTTTAGAGTTACAGCAGTTTTGTGGGGACTGACTACTTGCTTCAGCCAGCCAGTAGAGAAAGAAGGTCGTAGGCTCAACTTGATGGCACTTTGTCTGCTGTCTCTTGTGAGGTCTGAATGACCTGATGCTGACATTCAGCCAGCCTGGAAGAGGAAAGTTGGAAAATCTGACTACTCAGGAACAGCAGCTGACTGAAGAAGAGAAAGGAAAAGACTGGAACAAAACCTTGGTGAGCTGGAGGGTGAAAGAGGAGAGAAACTGGGAATCGGTGTGGGAGACTGGGACTTGCTGGGTGAGGACATGGGAGCTGGGTAGGCAAAGTGAATAGAGGTGAAGCGCCTGGTGCGGGGAACATGCAGATTGGAGGGGACAAGGCAGGGGGTTCAAGCTTGGTGGAACTGGAAGAAGGGTCTCTTCTCAGTAGAGCAGACACACCCCTCCAGAGCCTGGAATACCCATTTCTCCCATCAACAAATACCTGAGACTAGTGGCAAAACAGCTCATCCCCCCTCTAGTGCGGTCCACAGAGGATAACCAGCTGTTCTTCTATGTCATTTCATTAGCTTTGCAGAGCTCTGTGCAGTTGATCTGCCTGCAACCCCCCCCCCCCCCGG